ACACTGCTCAATGTAGGAATGTTGAAGATCGTCATTTTGAACTAAACATTTTATAATTCAATAAATTTTATTAATATTTTATAGCAAATTTCAATAAGTTTCATTGAGAAAACAACTTTAGGGAAAGATTGTACAGCAACATACTTCGAGAAAAGAAATATAGCATTCATGTATTTTTTGCGAATATATTTCTTGTACCGAAATTGCTCATTTTAAACTGGTGCTTGAAGGAAGCAATAATTGATTAAAAAAGAAAATTAATAAAAAATTGCCTTTAATGAATGTTTATTTAGAATGATCGTGTTCTGCAATACATTAAAAGTCATTACTTTTTCTGAGCCTGCGAATCTGAATAATACGACTAGTGGTTAAATATCGAGAGTGCAATTCTTTATTAGACGTTGTTTACTTCTATAAATTTGTTTGCAACACTTGGTATTTGTCTGTAAAAATATTTTCGAATTGTCATGAGCCAACATTTTTTATTTTAACTTTATTGACTTTAAAAATTCGGACATTTCCAGGACTGTCTTTTCCAATACTGGATTTCGTTTTTCTGAGCAGGAAAAAATAATTTTCAGATTTGATTTATTAGTTCATTTTTGTCTCTAATAATTACACCATATAATTGTAATTTTTAGACTAATAAAATTTCATTTATTTTATTTCTCTATGAAAATTGAACGCATAATATTATAAAAATTAATTTGAATTTTGTTTTAATTTATTTCTCTTTACTATTAAACTAAATTAATATGAGTATTTAGGTTCGCCTATTAACCAGTCTGTGCTCATTCTATGTTTAATGAACAGTAATAGAGGATTATCTCTTGTTTCCCGTTTAAGATGTGATTTGCCGGTTCATTTCATTCATGGCCTCGATGATTTAACTGTCTTTTATTTTTGTTGATTTGGATAGGTGACTGACTCATTTCTTTTTTAAGGGACCGGCTTGGTAGTTTTCTGATTGCTGCATTCTGACTGGTAGTAAAGAACCAACACTCAAAGAGGCATATCTGGTCAAAACCTATAATATATGCTGTTCTATGTCACGCGTGTACAAGTATCACTGCATATATATCCGGTGGGCAACCCTGGTTTCTATTGCCATAAACAAGGAACAGTGATAATTAACGAGACAATTTTTCACTTTAAAAGTTAAAATAATCTTCTCATGAAGATTACAATTAAAAGGATTAAGTTTAAAGCAGTAAACAAAAAATTCACCTAACTCCCTCAAACTTTCTTTCAACAATATTCATGGAATTCGTGCCTATTTATGTGGTATAGAATTTAGTATGAAGTAAAAGTTTTATATATTTCCTTATTAATTCTAGATATGTCTTTGTGTTTTCCATGTCGATAATATGCGTATGAAGACATGGACAACAGATATATAGAAAATATATTAAACTTACTTTCAACCCTTTCTGAAAATGGAATGAAAGTAAAAGTGTCATATATTTCTAATTAATAGATTTTTGTGTTTTCCCTATTTAATTCACATGCTGTCGAAATGTTTGACAGTAAAGTTTTCATATATTTTCTTATAAATATGTCTTGGTGTTATCCATGTCGACAATATATGTATGAAAACATGGAAAACACAGACATCTACTTAATGTGTGAAGATTTTACTTTCAACCCATTATGAAAATGTGCTGAAATTTAAAGTTTGGAAGATTTTTTTTTATTAAGTATAGATATGTGTTTGTGTTTCCATGTCGATCAAGCAGACTCGGAAGATTAAATATCTGGTAAGCGTTTTGGCAGAGGACTGTAAATGCGACACTGAGATCCGTAGACGTATTTGGAAGGGCAAAAACGCTTTCCAAAAGCTGGGCAGAGTATTGCAAGACAGGAGGATTTCTTTGGTAACAAAGAAAAGAATACTGAGCTGTTACGTGATATCTGTTCTTCTTTACCGCAACGAATGTTGGACGATTTCCTCAAAGATGAAGAAGATACTCGAGACGACAATGGGGTTCTACAGAAGGATGCTAAGGATATCATGGACCGACCGAGTGAGCAACAATGAGGTTTTGGAGAGGATGCAAACAAGGAGGAAGCTTATATCAAAAAAAGGCAGCTGAACTTCCTAGGACACATAAGGAAGAATGGTCTGGAGAATCTGATACTCACGAATCGAATAGAGGGAAAGAGAGACAAGGGAATAGAATGCATGACATACCTGGCGGGCAAGTGGATGACAGAACGTGGTCTTGGGGGGGGGGGCAGAGCGAAGGAACTTTCTGAGAGCTGCAAAGGAATAGAGGGAGGTGGAGAGCCATGATCGCCTACGTCCTGAAATAACACGGCACATAGATAGAAAGAATATGCGTATTAAGACATGGAAGACAATGACTTATAGTTAATAAAAAAATAAATGAATCTTTGCCTTTTCGCCCATTCTGTAATTGGGATGAAACTAAGACTCCTATATTTTCTGATTAATATATATAGCAGTGGTTAGCGGCTTGGATTGAGGAATCGCAGAGCCGAGTTCGAATTCCAGTCGAATCCACTGCATTCACTTACGTGCTAATACCCTTGGGAAAGGTATGTATCCTCTTCATCTCCCTCCAGCTATGGGTAAAATAGCAGGACAGACTGGGTTCTATAGCCTTGGATGGCAACTGGTCTAGGAGAAGGACAACTCTGAATTCAAAACCTGCGGAGGGTCGTTTGGGAACCTTGTGGCATGTATTCGGTGCACCAGGTTTCTGTATTCGTCCCTCCAAAAAGTGTGGCTGGTCCTGCACAAGGCCTTCACCACTATAAACAAATCTCATGTGCCGGTGTCGGGACGTCGGTTTCCTGGGGACTTATCGGCCTGGCCCTCATACGTCGAACGCGACGGGAGAGTCGATTATATATATATATATATATATATATAATTTTTGTTTGCCATGTCTGATCTGTTTAAAATATGTCAAACACAGACATATATTTAATTAAAAAATATATGAAACTTTTACTTTTTTATGGGATGAATTTAAATGATTTATATATATTCTTATTAAGTATAGATGTCTTTGTGCTTTCGATGTCGGCATTATGTCTTTGAAATCATGCAAAACACGAACATCTAATCAATCAGAAAATATATGAATCTTTTACATTCAAGCCTTTCAAATTCACTGTAGAAAAGCCGGATTAAAACAAATTTTGACTGTACAATTAATATTAAAAAAACAGCACTAATGAAACTTTCGAACAAAAGTCAGATAATTTTGTTCTTTCATCTCAATTCAGGTATGTCAGTTTAACAAGAGAGTATTTTCAAGCACACACACATACACATACACACACACATACACATACACATACACAAGCAAACATACACACACAAGCAAACAATAAAATAAATTTTCAATTTTGTCTAATCTATTCAACAATAATTATTTTAAATCATTATTTCCCTGGCAGTACATGAATATTATGTTTATAGTTTTTATTCTTATCATAAAGGACCTTAACGAACACTTGTGATCCCTATCTGTGGAAAATATCAAACAGGTAACCGACCCACACTATAAGTGTAGGTTTGACTTAAGCCTAATATTTTCTGTCGTATTAATTAGTTTAATTAAACCATATCAGTTTCCATTTTGATGAAAGCCGAGATTGGCAACTATCTTTTTATAAAGAATTTTTTTTTAACTTTTTACTTGATTTAATACTTATATTTAATTGTAATTGATATTTATTTTGTAAATCCGTAGTTACATATTTGAATTTATTATCCAACATATAATTGATAAACAAAACCCCATAAATGCTAAAATAGTCGATGGAATTCGACCCTTCTAAGGATTAGAGGTCAATTCAGGACACGAACAAGTCTAATCCATGGCTATTTTAAGAATAAGAAGTGTAAGTATTTTAATTCAGTACAGTGTAACCCGGATATAAGAGATCCGGATATAAGAGAAACCCGGATATAAGAGAGATTTTCTCTGGTCCCAAATTAGAGCCTGTCTTAATGTATATATAATAGACCAAACCCGGATATAAGAGAAACCCGGATATAAGAGACTTCTTCTCTGGTCCCGACAACTCTCTTATATCCGGGTTACACTGTATAAACTAATTTCATATACGTTCTACGTTGTGTACATTTAATTTGTGCAAACTTAAAAAAACAACTTATAAGAAATTAAATTATTTTTCAGTAAATCCAAGTATTATTGAAAAAGACGTAGACACATTATCCTGATTCTTTTTTTTCCCCTTGGATTCAGTTAATCACTTCTCATTAAACGTTGCAGATTGGATTGTTATAAACAAAGAAAAGTTCGTCTATATGTCAGTCTCCTCACAGATGAAGAAGACTTGAAGTAACAGAAATGTGGTTCTACAGAAGGATGCTAAGAATACCATGGACTGAACATTTGAGCAATGATGAAGTTTTAGAGAAAAAAGAAACAACTATGACGCTTATACTTAAAATAAAAAAGAGTCAGTTGAAATTTCTAGGTAACACGAGAAAAGTGGGCTTGGAAAATGTGATACTCACAGCGCAGATTGATAGCAACATGGGGTATAGGAAAACAACGCATAGCCTATCTAGCGAGCTTATGTAAATTGGATGGAACAGGCTTTAGGAGAGATAAAAAAAAACAAGATTATTTAAGAGCCAAAAATGGCATGAAATTGTGGAGAGCCATGATCGTCAGCGTCCTGAAGGGACACGGCACATAGAAGAAATAAAATCGAAGTATAATATTTTGTACAACTGGCTAAATTCCTATCAGGAGAATATGTAGACTTTGAAGTATAAATTTAATCTGAAAATATATTTGATTCCAAGATGAAATAGATTCTAAAAATGAAGTAATAGATGTGTTAAGATGTCGACGGAAATCTGATATGAATATTTGAAGGAAGAATATCATATCTACAATCTTTTAAGAAGCATCTTACCAGTGAACGAACATATAGATAAAAGGCAAAAAAAAAAGAGACTGATTAGACATCCGTGCAGAGGAGTGTATGTGATGCTGATCCAGTCTGAAAAGTAATGTTAGACAAATAAATAACAAACGACATGAACCTTTCTTTTAGATTTCAGTCAACCACGGCAGGTTTTAGAAGAACTGAGAATAAAGCGTTTGACTGTTCAGTTTTAAGTGTTTTTGATTATTAGTTTATGTTAGATATTTATGCAAACTGATAGACGCGATTCGGCTAAATAAAAGACAAAATTCCAAAATACAAAATCTCTCTCTCTCTCTCTCTCTCTTTTTTCACTCTATCTGTATCACTCTCTCTCACAGTCTTTTTTCACTTCCTCTCACTTTCTCTCATTCTGTCTCGTTTTTACTCTCTCTTAATTTCACTCTCTCTTTCTCTCTCTCTCTCTCAATTTCTCCCATTCTCTCTCTCTCTCTCACTTTCTCCCATTCTCTCTCTCTCTCACACTTTCTCCCATTCTCTCTCTCTCTCTCAATTTCTCCCATTCTCTCTCTCTCTCACACTTTCTCCCATTCTCTCTCTCTCTCTCTCTCTCTCTCTCTCAATTTCTCCCGTTCTCTCTCTCTCACACTTTCTCCCATTCTCTCTCTCTCTCTCAATTTCTCCCATTCTCTCTCTCTCTCTTTCTCCCATTCTCTCTCTCTCTCTCACTTTCTCCCATTCTCTCTCTCTCTTCTTTCTCCATTCTCTCTCTCTCTCTCTCCCATTCTCTCTCTCTCACACACTTTCTCCCATTCTCTCTCTCTCTCTCAATTTCTCCCATTCTCTCTCTCTCTCTCTCTCAATTTCTCCCATTCTCTCTCTATCTCACACTTTCTCCCATCCTCTCTCTCTTTCTCTCTCTCTCTCAATCTAACTCTCTTACTCACATACACACTCTCTCATCGAATCGAACGGAATGTGACACACGATCAAGTTTAAAACTTCTTTTATTTACTCCTTTTTTATTAAAATAATAATTTAAAAAGAAGTACTAAACTTCAACTTAGATTAATCGATTTTATTCACTTGACAACACTAGAGTATATTAAATAACTACTTACTTAAAAATATTATTTAAAAATACTGAAGAATGGGCTTAGCTCCCTAAACCCTCCATCCAGAAAGTACGACCCTAGTAACGTTGCAGTGGGATTTTATTTGGACTGGAACCCATAATTTTTTTTTCTAATACTTATTTAAACGTATGTGGGACAAGCCTCCATCCAGAAAGTACGGCCCTGGTATTGTTGCAGTAGGATTTTATCTAAACCCTCATAGTTAATAATAGTTTTTTTTTTTTTTTAAATATTGGGGAAGGAGGCTTAGCCCCGAAATCCCCATTCCAGAACGGCCCTAAAATCAATTATCAATCGATTTTATTTTATAGATACCGACTTTTCCTACCTTGAAAATGTTTCCGAATCTTCCGTTCGAATTTTCTGTGGACCCATCTGTCAATACCATCAATTAACACCTGACAAACAAGTCACTGTTGTTGGAAATGCTTTTCTTAAAGTAATTTTTTTTTCAAATTAGGTTAAGTATACTTTAAATTTTCTAATTTTCCTCAAATAATGTTTGAAAAAGTATATTTTATTTTTGCATGATTTTTAAAACGGGGAATTTAACTTTGTTTCAAATCTCTCAAGAATGGTGGACATTCTCGATTTTACTAAAGAACCCAAAAAAAAAAAAAAAAACCCAAGTCTATTACAATCAATATAAATTCGGTTTGAAATACACCAAAAAGTATTTTGCTTACTGAGAATAGTAAATTTAACCTTTGCTTTTGAATTAAAAGCTAAAAAAAAAAGATTTTTCATTTTTAAAAATGCATTTTAAACCTTAGGTATCGCGAATTTGTGAACATCCCTAGTATTGCATTATTTACATTTTAGTTCCAAATATCAAATGCCATTTGTATTTAGATTAGAATGTTTTCACTTTGGTTATGAACAAGAGATGATAATATTTTGTTTGGAAATGTTTCTCATCACATTGGTTTTATTTCATGAATGAAATCGCTTTATCTTCAAAAAAACATAAGTAAAAATAAGTACAAAACCAAACAAATAGAGGAATTACTGCCTTTAAGCATTTTTCACACAACATTTTTTTTTTAATTTTATATAAAACATCCTTCGATTCGAATTTGATCCGAGAATGCTTTAAATCTGACAATGCTTGAAATCTGACATCTTAGAAAAAGCAATTACCGTTAGATGGAAACATATCATTTTCAAGAAAAGAATGCTGTGGTTTTGAAATTCTAGGAAACATTATAGTGTTTTCTTTTTTTATTATTTTTTATTGTTTGTTTACTCTCATCATAGAGTTTCTCGATCAGAACGTTATAAATTAAAATCAAATTTGATATGTGGGACGGTCAGAAAATGAATGAATAAAATGAACATCAGTAATCACTGCACTCAAGAGACATTAAAACAACAAAAGAAAATAATCTAATACCCGAATACGAATGTGTTACATAAACCAGCTTAAAGAATGTTCACCATAAAAATTTTAAAAAAATAACGTAAAAGAATGAATGGTACTGCTTATTCTTGTAAAATGCTTTAAAATCAATTTACGTTCATATTAAGTACTTCCAAAATGCCTACGATTTCAAATGCAGTGTACGAAATGAAAAAATATTTCCTGAAGCTTTTCTTTTACTTTTAATTCCAAGCTAATAAATTAAATTTAATATTTCCAATAAGCAAAATACTTTGCTGTATTTCAACCCGAATTTAAATCATCGATTGAAATCATTATTCTATGATTAGCAATATCTCTAAAATGGTCCGTATTGATAAATCTGTCAATACAAAATAATTTTCTTAATTACAAAATATTTCAAAAATGTAACTATGCTATAACGTTAAAATTAAAAAAATTCGAACCAATCAAATATTTTATTGAATTTTTGCAACTTTGTCTTACTTACGAATACATTTTTTTAAATTTATTATAGTTACCGCTCTTAATTTCTGATAATATCGTGTGTAGACGTCTATATTTACAAAATATTATTTCTGTTCAATGTTTTCCTTGGATTTTATACTTCCACTTACTATCACTTTCTTTTCTATTCTATCTATTCCCTCTCTTTGCTTCCATTTATCAATTTATTGATTTTGTTCTCGCTCCTATAAATTAGTCTTTGTTTTTTCTAGTTTTTCAACACTACACTTTTCCTGTCAACGTATTGCCAGGTTCGATCGAAATCTTACCAACATGATTATCAAGCGAGGACCAATACATCTCAACGTTTCCCTTCACTTTTATCAATCCAAACACCCAAAGCATGTTTTCCTTGCTCTCATTGACAAAAGAATTCGTCTGTTGGCATTACGTGGTAACACTATTTTCATTTTATTTGCGAACAGGATTTTCCTTTCATCGTTCCTTGCCTGTACATATATATATATATATATATATATATATATATATATATATATATATATTTATTCTTGCCTGTATATATATATATATATATATATATATATTCTTCTGTATATATGTCGGCTTTGGGTCATGTTTTCTGGAACTTACAACACGAATTCACTAAAGACGGATCTTTTAAAACTGCATTTGGTTATATATATATATATATAAATTGCTTTTGTAGTTTACATTAAAGGCTTAGAAATTAGGGGTGAAATGCTTGGATTTATTACATCCGTGATGTTTTACTATACAGCCTTTTAGCAGAGGTGACACTTCGATTTTTATCAAAGCAATTGTCATTTCTTGTATGTAGAGGCCAGGGTTTTAAGAAAATAAAGTGATTTAATTTCTACATGGATGCTGAATATATGCGAACACATTTATTTCATGGATACTTGCAAAATCAAAACAAGAGAAATCAATAATGTGAGTATAAAGAAGTTCTCGGAGTAAGCCTTATAAATAAAGTGCGCCAAATTCTCAAGATTCTCTGGTGTGTGTTAATTCTAATAATCCTGAACTAAATTTCAACCGACTACGAATCAACACATAAAAAACCTGTTTTCGACACATGGAATATTGGCCAAAATCAGGACTAAGAAATTTGATCGTCTCGATAACAGACCGACCGAGTCACACGTAAAATTTGATATGATCAACTCATTTTGAAGTCATTGTAAAGATTGCAGAACCGTTTCAATAGGTATACATAGCACTAAGCAGACTGACTCAGGATACTCACCAATTTCCGTTGAACGGTACACTTATAACACGTACAGTCCGGGAACTCCAGTACTACTTTCTATATATAGGGTGCACCAATGGTAATATTATAAGGAAACATTCGACATATATTGGCCGAGCAGCTTGTACTACTGTCGATTGAAATTTGAAATATTTCTCATAAAATTAGTTTTCAGGAAAATAGATTTCTCAAATCCAGTAGCTGTTATCGTTCCTTCCAGTAGTGTACAATATCAACATTTTGATTGTCATTATTTTAACTTCGTGGTACATTTGATATCCATTTTATATGTAACTACCGTTCAAAATCTGCAAGTGATATGGTTTCTGTTATTAGTACAATTCTTTGTTTGTGATTCTGTAGCATATGGGCACGTGACCAAATGGTTAGTTCTTTCTGACTATGAGATCCGGGTTTGAATCTCAACATAGTCGATTTGCCTGAAAACCATAAGCTTGACCCAATCCCTGTGAGTTTGGTAGCTGTACTAGCACGAAGTCACAAGTCATCGTGACCGAGGTTTTGAGCGTATATTGATAACATTAGATAACACGCTTCTCTCCCAGAAACATAAGTGGCCTCTGTGGGAGTTAAACAAACACGAATGCGCCTGAACGGGCGTCTGCAATAGGGATTGGCTAGTAGACGGGTTGAGTGGTTAGAACGTACTCTTTTTCAACATGATTTATCAGGGAGGATGTTATCGGTATGAAGTAGGGGAAGATCCCTGTGTGAGGCAACTTAGGAAAGTGTCTGAAAACCATAACACGGGTTGATCCAAGCATTGTGAGTGAAATTGGGTAGACGGAACCCTTGCTTGCTGAGCTAGCATGGAGTCACAAGTCATCGTGACTGATGGTTTGAGCGTGCTATCCTTGAACAGATTGTTGAACACGCTAGATAACACGCTTTTTCCTAGAATCTGTAACTCTGCTCAGCATAGTTGCAGTATAAACCACAACCGTGCCTGAGCAAGCATCTGCAATAGGGATTGGCTTACTTACTTAGAGTACAGACAGTTTATATACTTCTGAATGGATTTGAACAGCCATCTGAAAGTCTGAATCTGGTGATGCTATTTAAGAACACGACTAGTTTTTTCAGGTTAATGTTTTGATTTTGTAGCAATTTGGGATGTTAAGTGAATCTACCGGCGAATCTATTCAATGTTCAATTTTCTTAACTCCTATATTAAGTTTGTTATAAACGATCCGTAGACAGAGTTATTTGAAGTATTTTGGTAACGAAAATCCTCATTTGCGATATGCGATTTACTGAACATACTTTTAGATGGTTCTTATATAATAAGATCTGGATAGGTGTATGTTTTACATATCTATTTCTGTATATAATAAGTGATGATTAGAACTGTAATAAAACCCAAACCTATGAAAGTGGATTTATACATTTTCTTTGTTCTTGAGAATTGACAATATATATAATAAACACTATTTATTTATTAGATCGTCTATTTACACTATTTATATTGTGTATTGAAATGGTTGGCAAAACATTAGCTAATTGCCAATTGATTCGAACTTTATAAAATGGTAAATAATAAGAATTTCATTACTGTTGGTTCACATTTTTTAATAATTTAGTAAATGTTTATAAATTTGTGAAGTAATTGTTTTCATAGTCATTTCTTTATTAATTGGTAAATGATAAATATTGCTTTTAATTGTATTAGAACATTGTAAATATGAAATTATTCTTGAAAATAAACAATCTACTAAATAGAGTC